CTCTCTCTCTCTCCGTTCTCGCAGATTCTCTCTCTCAAAATTCATCGCCGACCGTCCCTCTCTCTCTCAAATTTTCGTCGCCGAGCGTCGCTCTTTCTCTCTGAAAGTTCCATCTCTCTCTCTCAATTTATTATTTATTTTATTATTGTAGAACTAAAAAAATAAAAAAAAAAAGCAGAAGAACCAGTCCCTCTTTTTTCTTCTTTGACATCCAAACCATTCTCGTCGCCGGCGACATCTCTAATCCTCCGCCCACCTTTTGATGTGGAAGTCGTCCATAGCTTTCCTATCCGACAAGCTCCTCATCGACGATGAAGTGTTTGGACCAAGGGCGGCCGATCTCCCGACCCGCCAGTAGCAAGCTGACCAATTTCAACTCCTCCAGTGTATCTCAAGAGGTCGCTTGATTTGGCTTCGGATCTGGACTCCATAATTCAATTCATCCTCAAACACGCTTTCGGGAACTCCGGCTTCACACCGTCGGAACATTTTGGGCTCGCTCAAAACGTCGTCGCGTGGCGGTTAGGTAGTGCGAAAACCTAACCAAAGTTGGTGATAATTGCTATGTTGTACCAAATATTGGTGAAATTTTATGTGTTTCTAACCTAGCCGGCCAAGTAGAGCCCATTAGAGGTAATATCTTATTCTTATTATCTGATTCCTAATCTAGCTTGAGTAGGTTCATATGTCTTGATTTTTGGTCAATTTCAATTCTTGTGCAGACAATATTTTTGGTCGATTTCAATTTTGTAGTAGCGGCAATTTCATGAATGAGTGTAGGATTGAAAGTTTGCTTAGCCAGTGATTTGAGTAAAGGTATAATAAAATCAAGAGGCTTTTGGATGCCAATGGATTAGATATAAGCAAGCATATATGTTGGATAAATAAGAGATGACAAAGTCGGAGTACAAGAAATGGGAAAAATAACCTGCTCCTGCTGGTTGGGATGGTGAGTGACTGACTCTTTTTCGTCTTTTTGATGCGATTGTTTGTTGAGCGGGGATGATTAGTATTTGTTCCATGTGAATTTTGAGGTAACCTTTGGCGATATGTCTTTTGAGAAGGATAGCTGTTGGAACTTAGAACTACCATAGTATTGTTAATTTGTTATTGACCAAATGAGGAATTATTATCTCATATTTTACACACACACATATATGCTTGTTTCTAATGAGGATTCTACTACTTATACTTCATCTTTATTTTTATTCTCTTGGCATTTAGGTTAACGTTTTTATGCAACGGGCGAGTAAATTAGCAGCACTTAATAAAAAACTAATTGGCCTCAAAGTTGGGAACTTCTGGTATGAGCATGACCATGTCAGTT